AGGATGATCTGAGGGCTCCGACGAGGCAGCTCTTTTGGTGGCACAATAAACGTTTACAACGTTGCGAACGAGCTGGGTTGGGTTGGCATTTTTTTTCTTCTGTTTTTTATAATTTTTTTTATTTTTTTGGAGCACAACGAGGGGCAGAAAGTGACTGACAGGCAGCAAATAAGCCATAAATGCAGGCTGGCTGACTGGCAACCAGCCAAGACATACTGGGCTCCTCTACCTGTCGTCTACCTGTGCTGGGATGATGAAGTGCAAAGTGCCTGCTAACAGCTTGTAATGAGCTCCTTAAAACAGTTGCCGTTTTATGGGAGAGCTGATGCTGGAACTCGAGAGGATTATGGACCACCCAACTCCTTAATCCCCAGTAGTTAACATTTCGCACACACCCACACAGTACACAGCCCTGACTTTCGACTTGAATTCGATTTATGCGCTTCGATTGCTGATTGAATTTTGCACTGGATTTGTGAATTCTACAAATAATCCAACAAACAACCAGCAATCATGAGGCAGCAGCAGCAGCAACATCAGCAATCAACAATCATCAAACATCAATGACGAGGGTTATTCGTGCGTGAGTTAAGCAGTCAGAGGAGAATGGCCAAAAGGCAAATGCCAACGGCCAACAGCCAAGAAGGGGGTGAAAAATGGGCTTAGGGGATGGCAAATAAAGGGGTTCAAGTTGGCCCAACCCAGATGACAGTCGATATTGACATGCAACTAATTGATTGACAGACGTGTGTCCCAGATCAGCTATAATATCTTTATAAGGATTTGCAGGCATTACGCTCTAAAGGATGGGAAATTAAAAAATTAAAAGCCAAGACTTAAAAAGTAATGAGCCACAAATCCTGGAAAGTCTCTTACCCCTAAGCAAAGGTCAAGCTAGCAGCTCTCGTTCCCCAAGCAAAATTCAAATTTTATTTGTGGAACTTAACCCTTTTTGCTCCTCTAGAAGAATGATGATAAAAAGCCATATAATGCTAGCCATATACATAAAAAAATTACAGCATAAATCACACACGCACATTTATGTACCCCACACACACACATACAAATTTTGGTTGTTGTATTAAAAATAATATCGTCGTCTGGTCGAGAAAGATAAGAAAATTTATCCAAAGGATTGCGCTTGGTGTTATGGCCGGGCCACCACAAAAGTGTGGCCAATCCAGCTCCTGCCTCTGTCCCCATCCCCTCTGTCCATAGTCTGCGCAACCGCAAGGATACTGAAGGCTAAAAGAACACTCGACTCCTGTGACTCCTTCTCCTGGTCCGCCTTTGACTTGATGCGAGAATTTTATGACCAAAGCCCCCAAGTCGAACTCATCATCATCATCGTTGTCAGAATCCATGGTCGAATGGGGAGGGTAGGGATTTGGGCAATGGAGGGGTTGGGGAGCAGGACCAGCAGCGGCGATCTGTGGCCAGCGATAAGGTGGAAACCTTACATTTCATAAATGTCGCGCCGCAAAAAGGATTACAAAGCTGTTTCCCCCAAAAAAGGGTCAAAATATTGGAGATTTTATGAAAATAAAATATTTAAAATATAATAAAGTATTTAAAGATGTTTAAAATTATAAAAATACTTTAAAAATTAATGTTTTAAATTATTCTCAATACTTTTAACCATTTTTTGCTAAGTGTTCTATTTTCTTAACCCTTGTGATTTATTGTTAAAAATACTACTCGTTTTTATTTGCAACACTTGACTTTACTTTACTCCATAGTCAGTATTTTATGGAAAGCTTTTACGATCAAAAATAAAAAATAAATCCTCGGGAGTAGTTCGATTTCTTGTACTTTATAGTGCGGCCCACATGTCGTATGCTTGATATACGCTTTTTCGAAGCGAAGGGAAAAGTAGAAGGGGTCATGGGGGTAAGGGCTGTGTTGATTGAAAGCAACTGATAGCAGCCCCGAATGCCGTGTAATGGTTTTTTCTGTTTTTATATATTTTTTGTTTTGTTTTTTTTTTTTCTTGTTGTTGCAGTTACCCGCAGCAATTGCAATGCGTCCCGCATGTACCACCAAAAGCGACAAAAAAGTCAGAGATAGAGAAACTTTGAGCTCTCCCCGCGGAGCTTAGACCTTGTCAAATGATTAATTACATGCCGAAAAGCTATCTAACAATTTGACTCGCTCTCCACGTGTGTGTTAGTGTGTGTGTGTGGTTTTGGCCTGGGTAGATTGTCATTAAGCCAAAACAGCCACACAGAGGGAGACATAATAAAAAATTATGCCATAGATAAAATGCCATTAGAGAGAGAGACACACACAGACACAGAGCGTGGGTTAGGGGGTATCAGGGTGGTGTGGAGGATAGGAGGGTAGACGAAGGGGTCACCACTTAGCGCCATTAGAAGGCAGCCAACAGCAGCCAAGCCAGGCAAACAACAAGAGGAGCAGCCAACCAAAAAGCCAGGCCAACAGCGCACCAGGAAAATGGCTAAAAGGGGAGGCTGCAGGCGAGTACAGGCGGGGCAGCTGGTGCTGCAAGTATGCAATTCTGCAAGATAAGCCGAAGCATTCATGAATTTCATAGATAAAAACCAAACACTCACACACACACAGAGACAGGACAGACAGACAGGGCCTGCCTTACACACAGATACAGATACTGGGGCAGACGCAGATACAGATACATGGACAGGCGCTCAGGGAGATGCGCTTACAGTACATTGCACAGCAGCAGCAACAACAAAAACAACAACTGAAGAGCGCCAAAAGTGAGCATCATCATCATCATCATCATCCAGGAGCAGCAGTAGCAGGAGCAAGTGAATCAGGAAAAGCCAAAAGGAAGACACCACGCCACAAACAAATAGCAAACAAGGGGCGGAACTACTGGAATTTGGAAACCTCTGATATAGAATCGAATAGAATATACCCTAGGAAATGAGTTGGGATTATTTTTTCTAAATATTTAAAAATATTTATGTTTAAAAGGGTTATTTATTTCGGGGAGAAGATCCTTCAAAGGTTGCCTTTAGAAAATAAATATATCCTTTTTTTAGAAAGCTTAGAAGCACAAAATATCCTTATAAAATTTAAGGAAAATTAGGATAAATCCTTATTTATTATTATATGTTATTTATGACAAACTAGGTCTTTATGACCTACGACTATTTTTCAAAATAAAAGATTTTTTAAGATGGTTTTTATAAAGCCAAGATTCAGCCAACTAGGATTTTAGAAGGATAGGTCCAAAAATCTTTCTAAGCATAATTAAAGAAATTTATTCTATGATGTGTAAGAGAATCCTACAATTATTTTTTAATAATTAAAAGTGGACCTTAACCTCTTCAATAACAAATCACCCTTTTTCTTTAGAAAAAATAAAGCAGCCACCAAAAGCTGATTAGGGTTTCAAGAAGAGTGACCTCCAACACAGCAGATCGACCACAACAGGGCCTAATCCAATCTGGAGACTAAGGCCAGCAAGGCAAGTGTGGCTATCTGTGGCCAAAAAAAAAATAAAACTGGGGCAGGGACAAGGACCAGAAGGGGCAGGGCCTATAAGGCAGTGGCGCAGGCCAGGGCAGCAGGAATGCCGCACTTCTTTGGACCCCTTTTGGTTGGTGCGGTTTGTGGGTTCGTTCGCTTGGCGTCGCCATGGAGTGTCAACAGGCAGATAAAGATTAGCCAGACAAACGCCCACTTTTTAGGCGAACTGTTACGCCCACTGGCCACTCAACTACACTATCCTCCACCTCACCTCTGGATGGTCTTGCCACAGTGTGTGTGTTTGCTGAAAATCTTTCACTGACACAGCAGAAAAACGGCCACGTGGAAAGGACTGAGATTTGTTGGGGAAAGTCTGGGTGGGGGGTGGAGATCCCTGCTCCACCAATTGCCGCCAGTTTTGGGGGATTATTAATGATGAATGCTCGAGATGGCAGAGAAATGGTGCGGAATGTCGAGCTATAGTCTGGCCAAAAAAAAATAAAAGTAGAGAGGCAGGAGCGGAGCGGCGGAAAGGGATTACAGATTAGACCCAACTGGTCCATGAATTTGGGGATAATCGGGAAATTCATAGCCCAGCAGAGGCACTATCGGGAGAGTAGTTTTTAGCAATTAAAAATGATTTATTTAATAGCTTAGATAATAAATAGAATTTAATAATAAAGTATCTTTAAGAGTCAACCCTTTTTCAGATAAATTCGAACAAACTCTAAAAAACTTTACGATAATCCCAAGGGTTTATGGCCACAATTTTTATCGAGTCGAAACATTCAATTCCCGAGGACAAGTCCGCTCCTGGGCGAACCCTGAGCAGGGTTGGGGCTGCTTCTGGGTCAGAGACATCGTCTCAATGACGTTGACATTGCTGATGATTATGAAGTAATATGAAATTGATGCCAATGATGTCGGGAGTGAAGTCAAAATATTCCAACTGAGGAGGGGAGGAAGGTTAACCAAGGGGTTAGACAGCGACTGAGTTTGGTAGAAGGATGGTGGTGACCCGTTGTCATTTCCTGCAGTCCATCGAAATGAGGGTTGTGCCTGGCAAAGGATATTCGGTTAGAGGTGTCAAAATCACAAAAACCGCAGGGCAGGAGAAGGGTAAGGACACTCTGCCAGTGCACTGATAAAAAATTGTATTAAATTAGAGCGGTTTCATCTTTCATTTTTTTGGGATTAAATTTTTATTGGCCGAAATAGACCCAGGGTCTACACAACCATACACCACTCATACACTCATCTAGAAATTTATTATTGGGCATTAACGGGTTATGTCTGAAAGAAAAAGACAGCGATAGATAAGGAGAGAGAGACGGGGACAGTCGTTTGCTTCCTGCATTCAAGCAGATAAGAATTTATTATTTTTTTTCGGTTTTTTGGCTTTTGGCCCATTTCGTTTAAGCTGGTGACTTATCGCGGATTGAACAGCGGACAAAAGGACAACGGACATGGGACATGGGACAGCTCACAGAATGTAGGTAACTTTGGGAAGGATTTTGCATTCGATATTCCTATGAAGGGCTTACCTCTGCTGTCGACGGTCATCTCTTCTGTGGTATCGGAACAATCACCTAAAAAAATAGATTAAAAAAATAAATTAATAATTGTTTTAGAAGATTTTAAAGTTTGTTTTTCTAAGACAGAGATACTTTAAGTTACTATGATTTTCCCTCCCTAAGACCTTAGCTTAAAGCTTAGATATTTATTAGCGATAGTTCCACCCAAATGGCTTTACTTTAAAAAGCGATAATAATTGCTTCGAGGGCCACATTGTTTGCTTTTGTCCACCCATTCTCTGTTGGCCAGTATCTTAGTATCTTTGTATCTCAGTGTCCGGCCAAATCCAAGTTAACTACGCACAGTAGTTGACTGCGAGGCCGGTGTCCGAGCCTTCACTCTACTGCCTGCCCCTTCTCATACCCCCTCTATTTTTTTTATCCACACTACGAGTGGTGTGCCTGTGTTGTTTTTCTCATTTTTGATTATATTTCGCTGATTATTCACTTCAAGGAATTATAATAACAATAATAACAACAATCCGCAGAATTCCTTCGTTTTTATTTCAACTCCTCGCCTTGCCTCAGCTCTGGCCCTGCCTCACTCTGCGTCTTCTGCTCGCCACAGATTGTAGATAGCGAAACACACACACCGAAAGATACTCATACTCACAGCGCAGATACAGATACATGTGAGCCGAGCTGAACGCTGAGCTGGCCGTGGAATGAATGTGAAGCCACACAGCGCAGATAGTCGACTGATAAGCAACTGAAAGCTGGCTGCCATGGACGCGAATGCGGACTTGGACTTGGACTACGGTGTCGGACATGTTGGACAGGCCCAGACCCACAACAACGTGGGGCAACCCTATACCTCAGCTCCTGCCCCTCCTGCCAACTGCTTGTTTGCTTGTGGCCCAGAGTCCAAAAGCCAGACTTTAATATGAATTGGCGGGATTTTTAGGTTGCAATACTCCCACACACATATGGGTGTTATAAACACTTGTATTCTTTCCAAGTTTTAATAATTAGTTAGTCTTATAAATGGGTTATAACTACATAGATCTAGTCACTTATCAATATGATTTCTGGGAAATGGAATGAATATTTAAGAGTTCTGGAGAATTGATGATTAACCCGACACCTGATTCAGGCATATTAGTTATAATGAGATACATATTCTCTCTAAAAGCTTATTATTTTTTTATTTTTTACCTCTAGAATTACTGCTAAGCATTGTTGATCTGTAATCCACTAAGTTTCTGTCACAACAATGGATAATCCAGGTTTAGAAATCCACCTTCTGTCACTTCATCACTTTTATTTTATTTTTTGGTTTCTAAGCTTGTACTTTAAATCACTTTAACTTATCACTTGATTTCACAAAAATTATAATAATAATAATAATTATTATTTAAATTTTAAGTAGCGACTATATCGCTTGCTCTCTCTCTTTCTATCTGTATGCGGCCGCGGCGTTCTCTGTCTTTGTCTAGCACTGGTGCGAGTACCGCTCGAGGTTGCTACTCGATCCGCGTTCCACAGCAAACTGAAAGCCGAAACTCGGGCCCCGCCGGCGGCAGGCGGTGAGTAATGAAATTTTCGTGTCGCGTCGCTCTGCGTCTCAGTGCCCAGAGACCGTGTATCTGTGTATCTGTGAGATACAACCGATACAGATACGGAGGAGAGCCGCCAGCCGCCAGCCGAGCGATGACGAGGACAAGGCAGATACTCTCCGTTCGCCGCACAGCTGATGTTTGTTGATGCCGGGATGTTCGATGTGCGGACCAAGTTGTTTATCTTTCATTTGCTGCCCTATCTCTCTGGTCTGGCCTGGCTTCGGTACTGGCATTTGCCGGATTCGTATTCGTATTTGGATGGGATTCGTATCTCTGCATCCGAGACTCTGAGACCGGCACTGGCACTGTAGTGGCACTGCCACTAGCACATCCAATAGAACTGGTAACCCAAAAGGGGGAAATGGGACCGACCGACCGAGTCACTCTGCCGAACTGAAATAAGATATCGCCGCTCTGTCGCTCTGCTGCGGTCGACTTCCTTTGCTCGCTTCGAAATTATTCGAAACAAAACTGATAAAGCACTGATAAGAGCGCAGCGCGGCGAGCTGAGTTAGATAACATCGGCAGTGGCAGTGTGGCACAGCCAGCAACAACAACAATAACAAATAAATACAAAAATAAACCAAGCAGAGCCGGCGAATGAGTTGAGCTGAGCTGAGTTGAGTTGAGTTGGGCAGGCCAAACCAACCAACCAGCAGCGAACGGATACTCAGATACAACAGCGCGCACACACACTGCAGATACAGATACAAAGATACATCCAAAGAGGGTGTGTTTGTATGTGCGCGAGGGAGATGCTTTTCAGCGATATCGCGTCTACGGCTAATGGAATTCTGATTATTGCTTAGTGATAAGCGTTTTGTGTTTAATTGTATCTGTGTATCTGTATCTGAATACACTGAGCAAAATGGGTAGAGTAAAAATAATTAAGTGGAAGCAAAAGGTATTTCTTAATAAAACCGTTCAACCATTCCAAAGATCATTAATATGGTCTCTTTAAGAACATATAGTACAGACCACTTAAATAAAGAAATGCGTATTATACTTAACTTAAAATAATATACAATTATACAAAATTTTACACCTAAAAATTGTTTGAAAAAAACCTATAAAGTTTTAAAGAACTAAACACTAGATTCTAGTATCTGAGACTACTCCCATATATCATATATATCCTTCATATTCCTTATATCCCTTTACATTTCTTACTGTCGAACAGTAAATTCCGGGGATATTGCTCCACCGACGGTTATCATTCACCTGCCCCAGCCGCATCCGCATCCACATCCCACATCCCCACTCACATCCCCGTTTTGTATCTGCATCTCCATCATCGCTCTCCGTCATCTCGCTCTGCAGTTTTTTGGCTCACGGGGCTTTTGTTCAGCTTTTTTTTTTTTTATTTTTTCCCCTACGTTTTCTGGGGTTTTTCTTTAGCCAGAGCTTATCACTGGTCGTAGATCTATTTTTATGTTGCTTTGGCTACTCTTTCGCCTCTCTTTCCATCCCCATCCTCCAGTCTCTCTGATTCTTATCGGCGTTTGGTTTATTTCCATTTCCCTGGCAACTTTGCAGATGCAAAAAAAAAAAAACATAAAATAAATAAAAAATAAAATCGTTTTCTTTTTTTTCCCAGCGATTAAAATCTTCCAAGAGGTCTCTCTCTCTTTCTTCATTCTCTCTTTTAAACGGCATCAGCTGTTTTTCCTGAATGTTGCGCATGCGTTGTGGCGCGTTAAAATAATCCCCACACACCATATCCATACACAACCCCCATGCCGCCGCCACCCAACGAAAATTATCCATCCTCCGGTTGTTGTTTTTGTTTGACGGGCTGCCTTTGCAACGATTATCTTGTTTGCCATTGTTGACTTTTAATTAGATTCATTAAACGTGCCGCATGCCGCCAGCTCCCGCCTTGCAACCCCCTGGAGCAAACAACCCCTTGACCTATACGATATTTGGCACGACTTTTTAATACCCTAGAATGTTTTGGGGATTAGAGAGGATTATGATTTTGTTTCTATTCGGGAATCGGAATTTTTTGGGAAACCTCTGTTTTTTTTATAAATTACTTCTTTTAATTCTAAATATAGTATTTAGAATACAATCTTGATAAAGTGTTGGAGATTTTTTTTTAATTTTTATTTAAAGTTGTATCTTAACCGTATTTTTAATTTTTTGAAATATTTATATTGGTAAAATATAACTACATCTTTTTTAAAAAGGTACTTTTAATAAATGTAGTTAATAGATGTAGATTAAGGACTAGATTAAATTTCTATTAGGAAAAATATAATATTTTTCAAAAATCATGCTTTTTTTTATTAAAAAAAATACTGGAAATCTGAAATAATCAAATCTATTTATTTAATATTTTTTATAACTAATTTTCAAACATTACATTATAAAGAGTAGTATTGTAGTGCGTAGACTATATCATTCTTATAAACCAACTTTAACCTTCCTTGGCTTATTCATTTGTTAGAATATACATATATTCCCCATTTAGTGGCTGTTTTTTTTTTGAGTTTCTGGCTTATGCAGCGATAAACACTTCATGCGTGAATATCTGCAAAAGGTTTCTCTGATAAGTGCCCCCGTTGCGGTTGTTTTGCTGTAAGTTGTTGGTTGTTGGGTTGTTGGTGGCTCGTTGTTGGGGTGATGAACTGCCAACACTTGCCAAGATCCCCTCCTCCCCAACTTTTCCATCTTTCGCCGACCAGCAATGGCAATTGTTTTGCAATTATGTTGCCACAAGTCAGTACACAGATACAGATTCACAGTATATATAGTATAAGTATCTTTATATGTCATTGTTGTTACGTGCTCATTTATTGACATAAATATGAACAAATGCGACAGATCAACGTCTGCTGATAAAAGTACATCGAAAAAGCGTTTTTAAGAAAATCTGCTAAAAATACCAGCAACAAATACTCAAACAGCAATACAAGATACTGTACAAATTACACAGCAAAAAAAGAGAAACATGGGATTCTTTTTTTCAGATTAAGATACAAAAAATATTTAAAAAATATTATAACAAATTCTAGAGACTAGAAACTTTAATGAAATTAAAATTTTATAAATATTTTTCATTTTCCAGGAAAGGAATATCGTATAGCTAAAAAATGTATGTATATTTAATTCATAATATTTAATTTAATATTTATTTAATATTTAATTTAAATTCCATATAAAACCAACTATTTATGAAGGTCATCAATGTATTTATTTTTTGTGAAAAATTATTTAATTTTCTTTCAATTTTCAGTGTTATTTTAGTTGCAATTGCGAATGACGCAGCACTTGGAGTCTTCACCCCCGCTGTTACCCCTACTCCAGGCCGCCTCTGACCTCGATGGCTCTGCTCCCCCCAAGCCCCTCCTGCCACAAACTCGCCTGCCCCTCCTCGTTCGAAAAACTCCGCTGAGAGCGCAGATGCAAGCGGAATGATAAGAGATCCTCACGCTGATAAAAAAGCAAAAGCGGCAAGCCAGCAAACTCACACAGTTGTTGCTTATTTAATTTTTTTTTTTAATTTTTTGTTATTGTTGTTGTTGGGGGTATTTCTACTTCTACGTTTGGGCTTGCTTTTGGGTTTGTTGCTTATTTCATTTCGTTCGCTTTTTTTTTCGGTAGATGCATCGTTAAGATTACAACCCAGTATTTGTTGTTGTTGCTGTTGCGATTGTGGCAACAACAATGAAAAAAAAACATTTATCATGAAATAAATCTACTAAAGTTTTTTTTCTCTCTCTTTGGGGCATAAACTCCTAAAAATTGTTGCTATTGTAACCCGAAACTCGCACATTTTGTTGGAGGGAATAGCTCTTATATAATCAATGGAGTTGCTTAATTTATTTTTTATAAAAAAAATATAATATTTCAACCTTGAGCTTGGCTATCTGTTTCCCTTTTTTTTTGGTTATGCAGCAGCAGGTGCCAACACTTCCGACAGTACTCCACACCCGCTTCTTTCGTTTTAATTCACCCTTGGGAGGCCTGCATATTTATGAAGTCTGCCAGATAAGCGATGACTTCATTGTAGCGAAATTAAATCAATTAACATAAGCCAAGGTGCCACAACCGCGTAGCTGCCCCGGCTACAGTGCCTCCCACTTATCGCTGTCTGCCACCTTGCCACCAGCTTTAAGTTAATTCCAGTCCTGTCTATCTCTCTCGTTCTTTCTGTTTCTGTTTATGGGCTCTAATCTAGCAATCAATCAAAGTGATTTAAATTTCATGCCGCGTATCTCCACCGCACCACCAACACACACTTGCAACACCACCACACCATCACCACATTTCGGTGGGTGAGGTGGGGCTCTGAAAATCACGATTAAGAACTCAACTCGCAGACAGAGTGAAGTTTGAGGAATTATCGCTGAAAAACAGAGCCAGAGATAGGCCACAAGAAGGGAGTGGGATTAGGATTATAAATGGGATGTGTCATAACTGATTTGGGCGATAAGTTCTATGTATTTACCCTACTCGAGAGAAGGTTTACCCAAATGGCAGGCCATTGTATCCTTAAAAAAAAAAGCAGATAACATGCTTGATAAAAATTTATATTTTGGGAATTATTCTGGTAGACTGGCTAAGGTAATTAGGGGTCTCTGAATGAATAAAGAGAGAAAACAATGTATTTTAAATGTATTTCGGAGCTCTTTTCTTATAGAATAGATTAATAATACAATAGAAAAAGTTTCATTAAGATTTAAATAGACTTTTATGATCTTGATTATAAAACTATATTTATAAAGCCTCTCCCCTCTGAAGAACTGACTCATCTATCCATTCAAGATCATCATCAATCTTTTATGGTCATAGCTCCTTTATTTTAATAGTTGCCCCCGATCCTCATCTAGGCATAATTGTGAGTAATACCACCAAGCTCAGTGGACTTGTTTTATTGACCTCCTTTCCAGCCGGGTTTTCGTGGTATTCGAGTTGGCTAAGTGGTCATAAAATATGCTTAATGCATCAGGAAGCCGCCTCTATGCGGGTGCCCCGAATACACTTCCCTGCCCTGGTCGGCCATCGTAAAAATCCTTATCTGGGGAGTTTCGGCTCCTCAGTCATCCCGTTGGTAAGTGCGAGATTAAAATATTGGATAAAGCGGCAGCAGAAATGCACGGCCCGCCGATAACACAAAAAAAGTGGAAATGGAAATGGAGTTGGAAGTCGAATTCCTTCTACGGCCGGGTCGTCGGGACACAATGTACCGAGTTAACGTTGTCGCTGGTATGTATATATGTATATATATATTTCTACGTTATCGCCATCGGTGCCCTGTTTTGAATACTGGCTCAGTTTCTTGGGTAAGTGAGTGATAAACACGAGTTATCGCATCAATTAGTTCGGCGTCAAGTTGACGTCGTTAAAGGCAGCAAAACAAAGCC